AGAGTAGAATAGAATAATATAGAATATAGAATAGGATAGAATATAGAATATAGAATAGGATAGAATATAGAATAGGATAGAAGATAGAATATAGAATAGGATAGAATATAGAATAGGATAGAATATAGAATAGGATAGAATATAGAATATGGAAAGAATAGAATAGAATGGAATAGGATAGGACAGGATAGAATATACAATATAGAATATAGAATACAGAATACAGAATATAGAATAGAACAGAATAGAATATAGCATATAGCATATAGCATACGCATATAGAATATAGAATATAGAGTAGGATAGAATAATATAGAATATAGAATAGGATAGAATAATATAGAATATAGAATAGGATAGAATATAGAATAGAATAATATAGAGTAGGATGGAACATAGAATAGAATATGGAAAGAATAGAATATGGAAAGAATAGAATATGGGAAGAATAGAATATGGGAAGAATAGAATAGAACAGAACAGAGTAGAATAGAATAGAATAGAATAGAATAGAATTCATTATTGGCCAAGTGTGATTGGACACACAAGGAATTTGACTTTGGTGCATAGAAAGTGTACATAAAAAGACAAGATGCAATCGTAAATAATCATAAGATACAACACTTAATGATAGTCATAGGGTCCAAATAAGCAATCAGGAAACAATCAATTTCATTATAAATCATAAGGATGCAAGCCATAAAGTTCCAGTCCTGCAGTCATAAGTGGGAGGAGATGGGTGATAGGAACGATGAGAAGACTAATAGGAATAGTAATGCAGCCTTAGTGAATGGTTTGTCAGTGGTGAGGGAATTATTTGTTTAGCAGGAAAACTTGCTAAACAAACTATCTGTTTAATATTGCATGCCTCAACAGCAGTGAGGATTATATTTGCACAATATTGGAAAAATGAAGAAACACTGCGAGACGAAGAGATAATTAGGAAGATCTTATTAGATTGGGCAGAAACGGACAGACTCAACGCTGAAGATTAAACAGAAAGAAGACACAGAATATTATCAAACATGGGACTTATTTCACCAGTGGCTGGGGGAAAAAAATGGGGGGAGATTAAGAACGCAATCTGTATCGTTAAACAAATCGAACAATCCAGGCAACGGGATGTTTATTAAGCACTAACAAAATGTAAACAACAGAAAATAAATACAATCTTTAAAATAACAGAGAGCAAAATTGAAAAACATTCTCAAGACAATGGATGAAGAAGCTGAACAGTTTTTAAAAGATGGTGGTTGTTATCATTATTATTTTTGTTTTTAAGTGGAGGTGCTCCAGATATAAGCAGTGTCATTTATTGCAGATTATTTATTTATTTATTTATTTATTTTCAAAACGAACACAACACATAAAATTTCCCTTTTTTACATACTGTAGAAAGTGTATCAGTTGGTTTCAAAAGCATCTCTTCCACAGTCATCAAGCATAATTCATATTAACTGAAGTATTTTAACTCAGATATTTATACATATTAC